GATACTGCAGAAAAACCTTAGAGACTCTGAATAAAGTTGAGAAGTGTGAGTAACCAGGGTGATGTCGTGGTTGGAGTCTGCTATAGACCACCAGACCAGGGGGATGAGGTGGACGAGGCTTTCTTCCGGCAACTAGCAGAAGTTACTAGATCGCAGGCCCTGGTTCTCATGGGAGACTTTAATCACCCTGATATCTGCTGGGAGAGCAATACAGCGGTGCACAGACAATCCAGGAAGTTTTTGGAAAGTGTAGGGGACAATTTCCTGGTGCAAGTGCTGGAGGAACCAACTAGGGGCAGAGCTCTTCTAGACCTGCTGCTCACAAACCGGGAAGAATTGGTAGGAGAAGCAAAAGTGGATGGGAACCTGGGAGGAAGTGACCATGAGATGGTCGAGTTCAGGATCCTGACACAAGGAAGAAAGGAGAGCAGCAGAATACGGACCCTGGACTTCAGAAAAGCAACTTTGACTCCCTCAGGGAACTGATGGGCAGGATCCCTTGGGAGAATAACATGAGGGGGAAAGGAGTCCAGCAGAGCTGGCTGTATTTTAAAGAATCCTTATTGAGGTTGCAGGAAAAAAACATCCCAGTGTGTAGAAAGAACAGTAAATATGGCAGGCGACCAGCTTGGCTTAACAGTGAAATCCTTGCTGACATTAAACGCAAAAAAGAAGCTTACAAGAAGTGGAAGATTGGACAAATGACCAGGGAGGAGTATAAAAATATTGCTCAGGCGTGCAGGAGTGAAATCAGGAAGGCCAAATCACACTTGGAGTTGCAGCTAGCAAGTGATGTTAAGAGTAACAAGAAGGGTTTCTTCAGGTATGTTAGCAACAAGAAGAAAGTCAAGGAAAGTGTGGGCCCCTTACTGAATGAGGGAGGCAACCTAGTAACAGAGGATGTGGAAAAAGCTAATGTACTCAATGATTTTTTTGCCTCTGTCTTCACGAACAAGGTCAGCTCCCAGACTGCTGCACTGGGCAGTACAGCATGGGGAGAAGGTGACCAGCCCTCTGTGGAGAAAGAAGTGGTTCGGGACTATTTAGAAAAACTGGACGTGCACAAGTCCATGGGGCCGGATGCGCTGCATCCAAGGGTGCTAAAGGAGTTGGCAGATGTGATTGCAGAGCCATTGGCCATTATCTTTGAAAACTCATGGCGATCGGGGGAGGTCCCGGATGACTGGAAAAAGGCTAATGTAGTGCCCATCTTTAAAAAAGGGAAGGAGGAGGATCCGGGGAACTACAGGCCAGTCAGCCTCACCTCAGTCCCTGGAAAAATCATGGAGCAGGTCCTCAAGGAATCGATTCTGAAGCACTTAGAAGAGAGGAAAGTGATTAGGAACAGTCAGCATGGATTCACCAAGGGCAAGTCATGCCTGACGAACCTAATTGCCTTCTATGAGGAGATAACTGACTCTGTGGATGAGAGGAAAGCAGTGGATGTGTTATTCCTTGACTTTAGCAAAGCTTTTGATACGGTCTCCCACAGTATTCTTGCCAGCAAGTTAAAGAAGTATGGGCTGGATGAATGGACTGTAAGGTAGATAGAAAGCTGGCTAGATCGTCGGGCTCAACGGGTAGTGATCAACGGGTAGTGATCAACGGCTCCATGTCTAGTTGGCAGCCGGTTTCAAGTGGAGTCCCCCCGGGGTAGGTCCTGGGGCCGGTTTTGTTCAATATCTTCATTAATGATCTGGAGGATGGTGTGGACTGCACTCCCAGCAAGTTTGCAGATGACACTAAACTGGGAGGAGTGGTAGATATGCTGGAAGGTAGGGATAGGATACAGAGGGACCTAGACAAATTAGAGGATTGGGCCAAAAGAAACCTGATGAGGTTCAACAAGGACAAGTGCAGAGTCCTGCACTTAGGATGGAAGAATCCATGCACTGTTACAGACTAGGGACCGAATGGCTAGGAAGCAGTTCTGCAGAAAAGGACCTAGGGGTTACAGTGGACGAGAAGCTGGATATGAGTCAACAGTGTGTCCTTGTTGCCAAGAAGGCTAACGGCATTTTGGCCTGTATAAGTAGGGGCATTGCCAGCAGATCGAGGGACATGATCATTCCCCTCTATTCGACATTGGTGAGGCCTCATCTGGAGTACTGTGTCCAGTTTTGGGCCCCACACTACAAGAAGGATGTGGAAAAATTGGAAAGAGTCCAGCGGAGGGCAACAAAAATGATTAGGGGGCTGGAGCACATGACTTATGAGGAGAGGCTGAGGGAACTGGGATTGTTTAGTCTGCAGAAGAGAAGAATGAGGGGGGATTTGATAGCTGCTTTCAACTAGTTGAAAGGGGGTTCCAAAGAGGATGGATCATAGAATCATAGAATATCAGGGTTGGAAGGGACCTCAAGAGGTCATCTAGTCCAACCCCCTGCTCAAAGCAGGACCAATTCCCAACTAAATCATCCCACCCAGGGCTTTGTCAAGCCAGGCCTTAAAAACCTCCAAGGAAGGAGACTCCACCACCTCCCTAGGTAACGCATTCCAGTGTTTCACCACCCTCCTAGTGAAATATTTTTTCCTAATATCCAACCTGGACCTCCCCCACTGTAACTTGAGACCATTGCTCCTTGTTCTGTCATCTGCCACCACTGAGATCTAGATTGTTCTCAGTGATACCTCTCAAGCCTAGGAGGGAGGGAGGGAGGGAGAGAAGCGGCGCCACACCGCGGCCACTCGGAGTCTCCCCCCCCTCCCAGGTTTGAGAGCCTGGGAGGGAGGGGGAGACTCCGAGTGGCCGTGGCGCGGGCGCCGCTTCTCCCCCTCCCTCCCTGAACCCAGCAAGGCAAGGTTAAAGCGTGCAGAGTCTCAAGGGGTGTGCTGGTGAGGCAGACAGGTTGATGTGGAATGGAGCTATCTCACAGTTTAAGCCCCAGCAAAGCTCTCTCTTGCTAAGGCAGACGGTAACACAGTGGCTTACAGTTCTGGCTGCCCTGAGCAGAGCATCACAGCATGTTTGATTGCGCCAAGTTTATCAGTCATTCCAGATCACTCTGAATAAATGATCTCTCTTTATCCCTGTTTATTACTCCACCAATCTGTGGTAGTAAAGTTTCTGTAAATGTCACAATGATTTTATACTTCCACATCATTGATTAAAATATTGGAGAGTTGGCTGTGAACTGATTCCTGCAGAGTCCCAAACTGATGATTACCATTAACACTTATAATTTGAGATCTATAATTTAGCCAGTTTTTAATCCGTTGGATGAGGGCTATGTTGATTGCATAGTACAAATATTTTAGGGTTTTTTTTGTCCTGAGGAGAAACTCAATGCAGCAGTTCCCCTAAGAGCAGCCGTAGAATTGGGAAGTTAATGGGGTGTCAGCCTTTCTACAGCCTTCCCCCTTCTGCTCAAAACATACTCAGCAGAGTTCAGGTGTCATTCTGTTTCAACCCTTAGCTCTGTGAGCACCAGCGTCTTCTGCAAATTAAGTGCTTGGTCTTAATACTTGATGTTATGTTTGTGAGTAGACCCATTAATTTCAAGGGGACTACTCCATGTATGAAGTTAAGCACATGTAAGGAATTGGTACCTAAAAGAAATAACATTCTTGGCTGAGAGATTCATATTAGGTTATACCTGAGTGTCAAAGAATTTCCAGGAAACATGCTGAAAAGCTTCAACAAATTATGTGTAAACAGGAGTGGAACTATCTAGTTCTAGTGTAGTCTAACAAGGAAGAATATTACATAATTAGTTTCCTATGTTCCTGGCACAGTTGTATTATGGTGATCGGGTACTGTATCTTTTCTTCAGGACTTGCCATATGAAAAGGTCAGTATCCTGGTAACAGATTTTCTTTACAAATGGTATAATTCTCAACTATTTTTATACCCTTTTCCTTCTTTCCTTCCACCTCTTCATAAGCATACTGCTAGCTTCTGTATCTACTTCTCTGCATGACATAGAAATATTGTGTGCTACCGAAACACATGATACAGTTTCTCTCGAACCCCTTCCCAAAGAGATGACAAACTAAGTCATATCCACTTCTCTCCAGCCTGGGCAAGTGTTGATGGAAATAAATGTGCAGTCCTAGTTTGAGGGTGTGCCCCAAGAGTCAATATTAGAACCATTATTTTATTATTTGTCCATTCTTTATAACAAGCAATACTCCTTATATTGTACTACATCATTCAGGGAACCTGGATCCAAGCAGCACATTATCTATATAGCATACAGTAAATACTGTGATTAAATATTACATATTCTTATCCTCTAGCCACGCCCACCAACAGACCTGGGTTTCAATTTTGATGCCAATAAACAACAAAGACAACTGATAGCCGAACTGGAAAACAAAAACAGGTAAATCATGTAGAGCTGTTTAGAGGGGAGTTTGTGGGGACAGAGCATTTACTTGCAGGCTTACTTAATTATTTCTAGCATTTTGTTGTTTAAACTGAGTGTCATAGGTTCCCTTGTTGAATGGTGCACCTATTTCATTAGTGCAATTAGTTTCTGTTGTTAATTACCTCTGACCATCACATTTTTTGTTGAGATGTCTAAGTATGGACATGGGGGGCCGGCCTTTAGACCCCCCAAGTTTGAAAAAACTGGCCCATCTTAGGTCAGAATTTGATGCCAAGTGCTTTGTGATATTCATTGCCCTAAGACGGGGGTTTCTGATGACTATAGTGCGAGCTAGACATATACCTCAGAGGCTCCCAACTTCAAACATTTTGGTCAAGTTGACAGTCTCCCTTATGTCCTGTGTTCCTGAGAACCCTTGAGGCCCCAAGAAAACGGTAGGAAAGGGTTTGAAGAGGCATTGCTGGCATATGGAGAAGTGGTGACGTTGGTTAATTTCAGACTCATCAGCTTTTTGATAATAGCCCTACTAACTACTCCTGTGGCAATGTTTAGGTCTCCACTACGTACCACTTCTGGATCTGAGCCCACACCGTTCGCACATGAGTGGGAATTAACTGCACTTACTACTGTGCTGCAGTTACAGAGCTGTGTAGAAAGCACACTTGAAGCTTTCGTCTAGAATTTGAAAACACAGTATGAACTGTTGCCTTGTTTCTTGTTCAATCTCCTTGTCTCCTTATTTCAACAGAGAGATACTGCAAGAAATTCAGCGCCTCAGACTGGAGCATGAGCAAGCCTCCCAGCCAACCCCAGAGAAAGCTCAGCAGAACCCAACTTTGCTGGCAGAACTCAGGCTTCTACGGTAAAAAAAAAAAAAGACATCTAAAACTTTTATGCATGTGACATATTAACCCTTCAGCCATGTGTGGCCTCTTCTGCAGGATGGATGATCCTATCTGGTACTGAGAACAGAGTATTATTGGTAAAGCTACGAGAACTCTAAGGAGCCATTTTAAATCTTTCTGCTGGGGATTGTTGAAAGTCGGCAGTTATATAAAACTGTGACTCTTTCATAAAGTGGATTTAAAAGCAAATAGAAACAACATTAAAGTGTATTCTTGCTTTTGACAAGTAAGATAAATAAAAAAGTTATTTGTAAGGAGGCCAGTAGAATTGGGACCATTTGCTTATTACTTACTGGACAAGCGAATGGAACAGAAGAGCAATGTCAGTGATTTGCTTAGTCAGTGGGGTTTTGAAAACACTTATCTGCAAACATTCAGCCACATCTCCAGAGTTGAGGAGCAATCTTCAAACTCCTTTGATTATGTTTGCATTTTGAAGTGACAAGGGAAGAATTTTCAGTATTAACAGAATAAAGTATGTCATCGTCTGTGTAATCACAAGTGAATTCTCTGGCTGCTTTTTATTTCATCTTTTGCTTGTTAATTCTCAGTTCAACCTTCAGAAAACACCATATGAAACCTAATGCACATCCTGAAATTTAAGCTCTTGACAGATACAGCCCTTTGAGAACTGCATTATGTTAGGATTGCAAGAGAAGCCATGCGTCCTGTGCATGTTAAGACACAGTGCCACTGGAGTGGGGCAGTTCTGCTCCATCCCCAGTACAGGGCAATTCCTATAGGCAAGACTGTAAGAAACTCATGATTTTTTGGTTCAGAAGCCACCGTTTGTAAAAAGTCCAGTTTTGGTTTGGGGTCAAATTTGAGTGCACTGGAGAGGCGGCCAGGCCAAATCTGAGCGAGTGGCATTGCAACCCCTCGAATAAGTGGCGCACAGGGGCGCAATGCCACTCAAATTTGCAGCAACTATAAAAAGTTGCCATGTGTGTTAAAAGTTTCGGTTTCCACAACAAAATTGCAGCCCAGGGTTTTCGTACAGCCTGACTTATAAGACAGTAGCCAGCCCTCGACTGCAGCATTAAAGGCTCTCAGAATACGTATCGGAGCCGCTCAGCCCCGTCAGTACTTCTCAGTGCACTGCTGACCAATAGTTCCTTTGTCTCGTCTGCTGGGAACATCTCAAGAACACATGTGCTCAGACTGTGGGCTAGAGACCCCTGCGGGGCTTGGACACAACAGTGGTCTCTGTGTTTCCAAGGCTGAGCTCAGTGCAGACGAGGGAACGTGTAAATGTGGCCTTTGCTTCCTGTGCGTAAGGGAGACAGACTGACCCCCAATTATGCCCATTCATGCTCTTTGAAGCAGAAAGGGAGGGGCTAGCGCACCACCATGATTCCGATTCCTGCTACTCTCCCTCAGCTCTCCATTGAAGATCAGGAGAGTGGGGAGCTGGGGACTGGGCTGCACTGATGTCAATTCAGAAGATGCCAGAACTAGAGGTACTTCGAATTGCACGGAGAGAAGGCTGGAGTGGACTGGCGGGATCCAGATTAAAGAAAGCTGGCGCTGCTAGATATCCCTATCCCACGCCCAGTTAACACTTTCCCTTGCAAATTACTTTATATTTTATAGGCTGATCAGAAGCTCTGACTAAGCAATTTAAATTTAATATAAAATCACTGCTGATAAAATCTGCAGATGACACACTGATTGGCAGAGTGGTAAATAATAATGAGGACAGAGCAATCATACAGAGTGATCTGAATCAATTTAACCAGGGCCCATTTGAACAAAATGTGTTTTAATCCATCAAAGTACAAGGTCATACCTCTAGGAACAAGGAATTCTGGCTGTGTTTCCATAATTCGAGACTGTGTCCTGAAAGCAGTGACTATGAAAAGGATTTAAGAGTCATAGTGAACAAGCAACTGAACATGAGCTCCGGACCTAGTGTGAACGTGTGGTAAAAGGGCTAATGTGACCCTTGGATGTATAAACTGGAGTGTAGTGAATAGGCGTAGGAGATGATTTTTCTTCTGTATATGGCATTGGTGAGACCAGTACTGCATACGGTTCTGGTGTCCACATTTTTACAATGTTGAAAATTGGAGCAAGAGCAGATAAGTCACAAAAATTATTTGAGGTCTGGGAAATTGCCTTACAGTGAGAGACTTAAGCTATACGGGCTGAACTCCTTATCAAAAAGATTGAGAGGTGACTATGTTGTATAAGTACCTTCAGGACAAAATACCAGGTACTAAAGGGTTCTTGGGAAAGACATAACGAGAACTGCTGTCTGGAAGCTGAATCTAAACAAATTCAAATGAGAAATGAGGCACAAATGGTGATTAACCATTGGAACAAACTACCAAACGAAATGGTGGATTCTCCATCTCTTGATGTCTTTAAATCAAGACTGGATGCCTTCCTGGAAGATGCTTAGTCAAACACAAGTTATTGCTGTCACATTTTTCGCTTCTAAAATGAGTTGGTTACTAAGATCCTTGTAATGATTCATCCGTAGGTAGAGATCCACGAGGAAAATTTCCAGATTCAAAGAAAGGTCAAAGCCTGTGATATAATTTATCCTGTCTTTAACCTTAGACCTGAAATTATTATATGGATGAAACCACAGAAATAAATGAGTAATCCCCTCCTGTTTCCTTTTTTTTCCCTGCAGTTATTGTACTATTTGTTCATGGTTTCAAATAATGCAACATGGCTTTCTTAGCACATGAAATAATGAACTTTTTGACATGTGATGCTAATTTGATTCTAGGTTCCTGACTAGGAGACTTCTTAATTCTCTTTGAAAATTCAAACAAACAAACACAAAGCCACTTTTCTCTCAAATCTGTTAAACATAAGACTTTCATTCTAGCAGGCTTTAGAATGGAATAATTTTCAATCCCCAGAAAGGAAAAATTCCCTTCTGTACCTGCAGATCGGCTTGTGTTGTGTTACACTGTACGCAGGTTCTGTTGCAGCAAATGCTTCACAAATTGTATGTCAGATTATTGGATAGAAGCAGCTCTTAAATTCTCAGTTCAGGTTAATGGCATTCCATTGTCTCTTCCTTCCAGCACTCTGCACCCTGTATTCATTTTTTTGGTGGTTCAGTCTGACTTGTCTTAAAGATCTGCTGGTCTGACAGCATCATTAAGAAGATGCTGGCTTTCTTTTCAAATTGCATTGGTTTAAAAAAAAGTGCTTCCCACCATTATAATTCTGACTTTGGGTGTCTGTATTTCATAGTGAAAAATGTGATTGTTGCATGCCATGTTGCAATAGGAGTCGTGGTTAGCGTGTTATGTTTTGCTCTGATTTTGTTAACTTTAAGGGGGAGTAGTAAACAAAGTGAAATATAGCAACATGGTGTATATGCCAATCAGCCAGCTCTGTGAATTTCCCTGCGTGCCCCGGAAACAGCCAGAGTTTCTTTTGACACTTTCTTCCATGTAACTTGAACAGGCAGCGAAAGGATGAACTAGAACAGAGAATGTCTGCACTTCAAGAGAGCAGAAGGGAACTGATGGTGCAGCTTGAAGGGCTAATGAAACTGCTCAAGGTAAACACCTTTGTCTCAGACCTTCCTCCCTCCCTGCCCGGGCTTTGCTCTCACTAGACTCCTACATTGCTGGTGTCATTACTTCCCTCAGTGATCACATACAGATAATCTTGTAAACAACAGTATGAACTTGTAAAAAGCCACTTTCATTTTGGCTCTGCATATTGGGAAGGATGGTTAATGTGCGATTAGGTCCACATGCTTCTCATGTTAAAGTTGTTGAACACCCACAGGTTTTGGGAGGGATGGGAGAGGGACGATAGATTTGTTAATTGACTAACCCAGGGGTCGGCAACCTTTGGCACACGGCTTGCCAGGGTAAGCACCCTGGTGGGCCGAGCCGGTTTGTTTACCTGCCGCGTCCGCAGGTTTGGCAGATCGCGGCTCCCACTGGCCGCGGTTCGCTGTCCCAGGCCAATGGGGACGGCAAGAAGCGTCGGCCAGCACATCCCTGGGCCCACGCCGCTTCCCGCCGCCCCCATTGGCCTGGGATGGCAAACCGCAGCCAGTGGGAGCCACGATCGGCTGAACCTGCAGATGCAGCAGGTAAACAAACCGACTCGCCAGGGTGCTTACCCTGGTGAGCCACATGCCAAAGGTTGCCGACCCCTGCTCTACACCTTGTCCCTCTGAGATTTTGGAAGGTACTTCAGCTTCTTAAACCTTGGGTTGAGTGCTGTAGCTATCTTTAGAAATCTCACATTGGTACCTTCTTTGCGTTTTGTGAAATCTGCAGTCAAGTGTTCTTAAAATGAACAACATGTGCTGGGTCATCATCTGAGACTTCCATAACATAAAATATATGGCAGAATGCAGTAAAACAGAGTAGGAGACATACAATTCTTCCCCCTAGGAGTGCAATCGCAAATTTAATTAATGCATTATTTTTTAACGAGCCTCATCAGCATGGAAGCATGTCCTCTGGAATGGTGGCTGAAGCATGAAGGGGCATATGAATGTTTAGCGTATCTGGCACGAAAATACCTTGCGATGCTGGCTACAAAAATGCCATGCAAACACCTGTTCTCACTTTCAGGTGACATTGTTAATGAGAAGTGGGCAGCATTATCTCCCATAAATTAAACAAACTTGTTTCTCTTAGCGACTGGCTGAACAAGAAGTAGGACTGAGTGGACTTGTAGGCGCTAAAGTTTTACATTCTTTTGTTTGAGTGCAGTTATGTAACAAAAAAAAATCTAAATTTGTAAGTTGCACTTTCATGACAAAAAGATTGCACTACAGTACTTGCATGAGGTGAACTGAAAAATACTATTTCTTTCGTTTATTATTTTTACAGTGAAAATATTTGTAATAAAAGTAATGATATAAAGTCAGCAGTGTACACTTTGCATTCTGTGTTGTAATAGAAATCAATATATTTGAAAATGTAGAAAAACATCCAAAAATATTTAACACATTTCAATTGGTTTTCTATTGTTTAACAGCGATATTAAAACTGAGATTAATTGCGATTAACTTTTTAAATCATGATTCATTTTTTTTAGTTAATCACGTGAGTTAACTGTGATTAATTGACAGCCCTAGTCATTACGTATGTGCAGCAAGTGGATTTCAAATATTAATGACTTGGCCATTTAGAAGGCAAAGAATAAAACTCTTTTTGTGGGATGATGACCTGAAAAATGGAATTCCAGTTATCTTTTTTTTCAAGTATAAGTGCTAATAAATAATAATTTACATGTTCAAAGCATAGTGCAAACATTAGGTGAATGAATCAGAGTCTCTGGGTACCAAAATTAAGTCATAACATAGGCTTTCATGACCAAAGTCTACATTGGAAAACGCTCATTCCCTGCTGATCTATATAGCATCCCCATAACCAGCCACTCAGGCTGAAGCCAAGAAAGGAGATTGGCCTACCCAAACTCACAGACCAGTAGGAGGAGCAAGGTCCAGAGCCAGAGGCCAACCACTGAAAACACCCTGCCACTGTGCATTAAAGATAACTGTCAAGTAGCGATTGCTAGGATCTAATTTTGTTGTTTATATCTTAGAAAGAAAAAAGTAAAGGGAGAAGTGTTCATTGGTTTTGTGTGTTTCAGTTTTGGATGCCCATGTCAGAGGTGCAGGGCATCTGAAACTCTAGTAGAAGTCAAAGATAGTGGCATGCCTTTAACACCTCTAAAAGTCAGCCATGAGGGGACTCAAGTTGAGCACAGAAAAACAGAGGCAGCAAAATTAAACTGCACATTTTATTATTTGCATTGTGGTAGCACCTACAGGCATGACATGAGGCACTGTCCCCACCACTATCCTCAAAAGGTTAATGTAGCTTAACAAAGAGAAGGTTAAGAGGTGACTAGATCACAGTCTATAAAAGTCCCTACATAGGGAAGAAATATTTGATAATAGGCTTTTCAGTCTACCAGATAATCCTTAAGACGTTTCAGTGGCTGGAAGTTAAAGCTAGACAAATGCAGACTGGAAATAAAGTATACATTTTAACAGTGAGAGTAATTAACCATTTTAACAGTTTTACAAAGGGTCTTGGTGGATGTGAATTTTTAAATTGTGAGTGGATGTTTTTCTAAAAGATATACCATAGTTCAAAAGGAATTCTTCTTCTTCGAGTGGTGTCCCTGTGGGAGCTCCACTCTAGGTGTTAGTGTGTCCCTGCACCGGAGATCGGAGATTTCTCGCAGCAGTACTCGGTCGGGGAAGGGCACACACAGGAGTCACCTGGTGCAGCCATTGGCACCTCCTCTAGTGCGTGCACCCGCGACCGTCCTCTCAGTTCCTTCTCAACCGTCTTCTGCTGCAGATGGAGTTCCGCAGCAGTGCTCTCTTTGAAATTTCTGGGGTGGGGGGCAGTTACAAGTTACATAGTTACATAGTTACTTGCGTCTGATGAAGTGGGCATTCACCCACGAAAGCTTATGCTCCAATACTTCTGTTAGTCTTAAAGGTGCCACAGGACCTTCTGTTGCTTTTTACAGATTCAGACTAACACGGCTACCCCTCTGATAAGTTACATAGGAACTTCTTATTAGTCTATACTTAGTTACATTGTTTAGTTAGTCTTAGTCTATACATAGTTACATAGTTTCATTAGTTCCTCTTAGAGGTTTTTCTTCAAAAACAAAACAAAAAACAAAAAAAAAGATTTTTTTCTCTGCTTAACTCCCTGTTTGGGAACAGTTTCTACAATTTACCATTACAATTAACTCCCACCCTTATCTCTCGAGAGGTGGGAGAGGCTTAACTGCAGTCATGCCGGGCTCAATGGGATTTAAAAAGTCTGACTCCTGCCGTGAACCAGTACCGGTTTCTAACGGCCACACATCCTGCATTCGCTGTCTGAGAGAAACTCATATCTCCCAGAAATGCATACATTGCACCAACTTAACAACAAGGGTAAGACGTGACAAGGATCTCTGCTTGAAAATGCTTCTGTTGGAGAAATCCCTCCAACCTCCGCAAGAGACATCCTCCAGGGAGTCTCATAAACCAGGATCCCTGAGCTCTGATAAGGCTCCGACTTCCAAAACTCTCAGGAAGCGAGCCTCGACCTCTCCAACAAGGGTCTCTCAGAAAAAGAGAGCTTCCCCAGCAAGGTCTTTACCCTCAGTGCTCCGCTTATCCAGAGTGAGCACTTACGAGGCACCAGGCTCCTCCGGCACCATCCCTCAGCAGACCCCTTTCAAGCCCCAACACGCGGCACCGGAGTTGAGACGTCAAGTCTCCTCCATGGCACCGACTACCCCGGTGCAGAGCGCAGCACAGGCAGCGGCACTACGATCAGTGCTGCCACCACTGGCACCAACCCAAGACTTGATGCCTGCTAACAAACCAAACCCGGCACCAGTCAGCGCTCCAATAGTCGACCGCAACCCCAAGGCGGGACCAGCGCAACTCCTGCATACAGAGGACATAGCAGTTTCTTCGGCACCGCAGTCACCACTGCTCGGCACCAAACACTCCCCAAGCTACATAGCAAGGTACCATCCTTCAGCTCCTGCACCACTCTCCATGCATAGTGGCAAGGAAGGAGACATGAAGGACAACCGCTTCTCCTCTCAACGTTCATCCCCATCACTTATGAGACCTACATGGAACGCTGTGAAGCCTAAGCCTCATCCTTCTGAGCATTCACAGCCTTGGCCCTACCCATTACCACCTTACCCCATGCAATGGCCATAATGGGGTCCTTGGCTCACATACCAGAACCCCTATTGTGGTCTCCCTTCCCCAGCAACAAGAGGCTCCAGAGTACATCCATCATTACCGCATAGAGAAACCTCTGACCCCCCTGAGACAGAGATAGAAGAGGAAGAGATACTATCTCAGGCAGACCTGGATGATTCACCACCTGCCCCACACTCATCGTCTGCACCAGATGAAGCGGTGACGCCATCTACCCGACGGCACCAGATGACCTGAAACAGTTCCAAGAACTCTTCAAAAGAGTAGCAAACAGCCAAGAAATTGCCTTACGTGAGGTGCAGAGTAACAACGTAAGTTGTTAAAAATCTTACAACTGGCATCATTGACCAAGATTGCCCTCCCCATAGATGAGGCTATAATGGAGCCTGCGGAGGTAATATGGCAAACACCAGCATTGGCACCACCCACCAACAAAAGGGCTGACAGAAAATACTTAGTTCCAGCCAAAGGCATGGAATTTTTGTTTTGACACCCTCAAGCCTGCTCTCTGGTAGTAGAGGCTGCAAATCAGCGCAGTAGACAGCCTCATTTCTGCTCCTCACTGCAAGATAAAGAGCACAAGAGACTGGAGCTCTTTGGGCGGAAAGTTTACTCGTTAGCCATCCCTCTGCTTAGAGTTGCCAACTATTCTGCTCTACTAGCAAAATACGACTACTCTAACTATAGTAAAATACAAGAGCTCATGGAGGACCTCCCTGAGCATAAATGTCCTCAACTCAACGCCATTATCAATGAGGGTCAGTTAATCGCCCACACAGCACTGCAAGCCTCAATGGATGTAGCAGACGCAGCTGCCCGAACAACCGCAGCAGCTGTGGTTATGAGAAGAATATCATGGTTGCAGGCTTCGGGAATTCCAAAAGAACTACAACTAAAAATGGAGGACCTCCCCTTCGATAGGGATAAAATGACGTCCTCCATACCATGAAGGCCGCCCGAGCGACACTGCATCTACATCTAAGCCACAATTTTGAAGTCTTGGTCGAGGGTATGCACGACCTCCCACACCTCTAATGCCAACAGATGCCCTAGACTCCATACAAGCCAAGGCAATATTTCCAAACCACAGATTCACTACATTGACCAATCTTATTTCCACGGTGACCATCAGCCCACAAACTTCAGTGAGGACATGCCTTCAGATTCTGGGACATATGGCAGCTATGACTTTTGTAGTAAAGTATGCCAGACTCCGTATGTGCTGTCTACAGCACTGGTTGAGCACGGTCTATGCACCCAACAAACACTCTCTCCACAGACGAGTGACACTACCACCAAGGGTTATCCTCTCCCTACAATGGTGGACACAACCAGGGAATATATGCTCTGGGATTCCCTTTCAACAAGACTCCCCATCAGTGACTATTACAACAGATGCCTCCCTGATAGGTTGGGACGCCCACTTGGGTCACCACAATGTGCAAGGCAAGTGGTCTGCGACAGAAACCCGACAGAAACCCGACTACATATCCATCTCCTGGAACTCTGCATGGTACACAATGCATGCCAACACTTCCTCCCACTCATACAAGAAACCTCAATCTCTATTCTCACCGACAATGTGGCATGCATGTTTTAAATTAATCGCCAAGGAGGAGCCAGGTCTCACTCACTATGCGTAGAAGCCATTAATTTATGGAACTTCTGCATCTGCAACAATATAAACATCACAGCATCATACCTACCAGGGTGCCAAGAAACTACAGCCGATAACCTCAGCAGGCACTTCTCACAGGAACACGAGTGGGAAATCCATGACAGCGTTCTTGGCATGATATTCCAAAAATGGGGTCACCCGGTAATCGACCTTTTCGCCTTAGTGACAAATCACAAATGTCCACTATTTTGCTCCAGGGCAGGCCTGGCACTGGGATCATTAGGGGATCCTTCCTCATCCCGTGGAACGCATCACTCATATATGCCTTCCCACCACTACCACTGATCCCACGGGTCATCCGCAAGATACGACTCGACAGAGCATACATCATTCTCATTGTCCCCACAGGGTCCAGACAGACTTGGTTTCCGTACCTCTCACATCTAGCAGTTTGTGCCCCACAACCGCTGCCTTCCCGGATGGACCTCCTGTCCCAGAACAAGGGCCTGATGCTCCATCCGGACCCAGCAAAACTCCATCTCAAAGCATGGCTCCTCTCTGGTTCCAACATGGGGAATTGAACTGTGCGGAGAAAGTAAAACAGGTATTACTAAATAGCCGTCGCCTCACCACTAGAAATACTTACCGCCACAAGTGGAGAAGATTCTCCCTTTGGTGTCAGCAAAAACAGCTGGACGCGACCAAGGCGCCTCTATCTATGATCCTATACTACCTACTAGAACTGAAGGAAACAGAGTTAGCCATAAGTTCTATTAAAGTACACCTGGCTGCCATCACAGCCCTCCACAAACAGATAGAAGGGTCTTCAATATTCGCTCACCCGATTACACGGCGCTTTCTAGCAGGTATACAGAACATGTACCCAGAAGTACACCAACCTGCACCACCACGGGATCTCAATCTTGTGCTCAAATGTCTCACAAGACCACCCTTCGAACCTCTAGGAACCTGCTCACTCCTACATACGTCAATGAAGGTCGCATTCCTAGTGGCAATCACGTCTGCAAGACGTGTCCGTAAAAGAGGAGCATTGATGGCTGAACCACCGTACACTGTATTTACCAAAGACAAAATCATGTTACATCCTCACCCAAAATTCTTGCCCAAAGTGGCTACAAATTTTCATATTAACCCAACCATACACTTACCTGCCTTCTATCCCAAGCCACATAACAACTCTTGAGAAGCAACGTTGCACATGCTAGATGTCAGATGGGCTGTAGCCTTCTACTTGGACAGAACTAAGCCATTTCGCAAGTCACCAAGACTGTTTGTCTCTACAGCAGAGCGCTCCAAGGGCTCTACAATATTGACCCAGAGACTCTCCAAAGGGGTCTCTACCTGTATTCAAACTTGCTACTGCCTGCATCACAAAGAACCCCCCCCCAAGGGCAGCAGATCCCACTCAACGCGAGCCATGGCGACATCAGTTCATTCTTGAACACTGTCCCCTTAATAGATATTTGTAGAGCTGCAGCCTGACATCGGAGCACACATTTGCAAAGCATTACGCTATCACCCAAGGCCTTGTCTCAGACTCTATCGTTGGCCTTACAGTGCTCTCATCACACACTTATACACAACTCCGAACCCTACCACCCCTAGTGGGGTACTGCTCTACAAGCACCTAGAGTGGAGCAGCCACAGGGACTCCACTCGAAGAAGAAGTTACTCACCTTGTGCAGTAACGATGGTTCTTTGAGATGTGTGTCCCTGTGGGTCCTCCACTACCCATCCTCCTTCCCTCTACTTCAGAGTTCACTCAGCCGAGCGCTGCGGTAGAGAAGGAACAGAGGGGACAGTCGGGAGAGCGCGCGCTGCAGGCGGTACCAACAGCTGCACGAGACGACTCCTGTGCGCGCCCTTCCCCCGACCGAGTACTGCTGCGAGAAATCTCCGATTTCCGGCGTAGGGACACACCAACACCTAGAGTAGAGCACCCACAGGGGGACACATCTCGAAGAACCATTGTTACTGCACAAGGTGAGTAACTTCTTCTTTTGGGGACGTTATATGATAGCAGTGTTAGACAGGTGGTCTTGGACTCTATGAACCCCAAAAGTGGCAATGGCGACTACTAAAGCTACAGAATAGCTCATTGTTTTTCTGGGTTCATTTATTAGTTAATTGCTCTCAGTGTTCCCACTGCTTTATGGCGTGCAGGGGCAAATTCTCTCTGAAAATGTCTGGGGTTTGTAAAAGAAATCTAGATTATTTTGCTGATGCTCAGTAGTTGAAATAAAAGTGTAACTGTGCTAGCCCAGCAGGTCACTTAATACACATTTCTTTCATTCAGACGAAGATAACTTCATTCATTCTTGCATTACTCAAGCATCACACTTTCAGCAGTGACCCCCATTCATCAGAGTTACTCTTTAGCAGTGCAGGAATCAGTTTTTTCGCTGCACATTTTTTAATTTAGTCCATACCTCTAGAGCTTGTGTTTACTTTCCCAGTTCTCCTCTCCTTCCATTCCACTGCTCTGGATGTCTGACATTGTACCAACTTGCTTTTTTTAACCTGAGCAGTAAAGGTCACTGCGGGCCAGTGATAGGAGGTCCCTGGCTATGGCTTCAGTTTGACAAAGACTGACAGTGCGGCAGAGATGTTACGCTGTTCTGTCACAAGCACAGTGCATCACTGAGTATTGGCAGCCTTCAAACAGTTTCATGGCTAGCATTTATAGAGTTAAAGAGGTATTTAGTTTAGTCCTTCTTAGCTGAAAGGTTGAGGGCCTCAAGGAGTGCAGGTGAGAACTGGTGGATCACCTGAGTCCAAGGGAGGTGCTGAGGGCACTAAGGGTGTTTTGGGAGGGAAGGGATCACTCTGAGATCTGCTCAATTTACTCAACCTCCTAACACAGGTGCACATTATAGACACAGATCTCCTTTTGAGACATGGAACAAACTGCATCTCTGCTTTCTCCCCACCGCTGCTGTGTCTTTGTTTCGTGTTGCATCTACAGATGTTTCTACAATTTACCATCTGCCTGTTCTTTCATTTCTTCTGTTGTGTGTTTGTGTATTTCCTTTTAACGTGATGATTAATATATCTTTGTTTCTCTTTTCACCTTTTTCTGTTGCCAACATTTGTAGGAAGAAGAGCAAAAGCAGGCAGTAAGTTGATTTCAGTGTGTAGTTGATCTAACTTGGGCGGGGTTCTGCATGAAAACACTATTTTTGTCCTGATGGGATTGTATGTAAATAAACCATGCATTACTTTTTCTTTGTGGCTAGTGTAATGTCACTCCGATGGGGTCTTTCTCATTTTTAAAATTCCAAACCAGAACTCTTCAGTTCCCAGTGGAGCATGTTCTTAATAAAGTACTGTGAGCTTCTTTTCCTCCCCTTTCAAATTAAGTTTATTGCCTTGAATACATGACCAGTGAGAACATTTGTTTGTTTTTTAGAAAAGTGCATGATCAACCAGATTGAAAAGAGAGATTCTCAGCTTGTTTTACTTTGTATTCTGACAGTTTCTCAGGAGTATTTTGATAGCTTTCTTGTCTCTTTGAATAACCTGGAATTTGCCTGTTTGCTGTGTACAAGTCCATGCATGAAAACTAATTTTGATACTCTAGGCATGGCTTCATGTCATGTAGCTCGATATAGTCTCACTAGACTAGTCTGTTTTGCGCTCATTGCAAATGAGCGACAAGTGCAAACTAATGAGAGACAAGAATGCATTTGCTGTTATTGATTTCCATTTCCATTGCCCTCCTACTAAAATTTAAATCCAGTGTTAACTTTGTGATCCACTCCAGAGGGAGCCCTTTTTCTTTTTTAAGGAACAGCCGTATATTCAGTTATTTTTCTTCAGCAGCACATGCTTTCAGCACACCCCAGCTGTTCTTCTCTGTGCACATAGAGTTATGAAGATTAACCCTATGTTCACTTTGGTTGTTTATTTGCCATATATACCTTACACAGCTTAAAAATATTCAGATAACTTATTTCTGGTAAGAAGATGTACCTATGTATACAGCTTCTATCGATGAAGCCTCCGAGTGACGCTACATCAGAAATGTGCTGGAACTGACCCTTGGTGGCTCCTGGGAGCCCCGTATTAAAATTTCTTCCCCAAATTGAAGGAACGATTGTGGTGATTTCCCTCCTTGTGCTGGAGTTCGCTCCTCTCTAGATGTGGCTAAATCAGGGGTTCTCAAACTGGGGGTCAGGACCCCTCAGGGGGTCTTGAGGTTATTACATGGGGGTCACGAGCTATCAGCCTCTACCCTAAACCCCGCTTTGCCTCCAGCATTTATAATGGTGTTCAATATGTTAAAAAGTGTTTTTAGTGTATAAGGGGGGTCGCACTCAGAGGCTTGCTGTGAGAAAGGGGTCACCAGTACAAAAGTCTGAGAACCCCTGGGCTAAATCATCCCATTCAGAGAAGATTTATCCTGGGGTTCATAAAAATACCTTTGCAAAAAAACTTGTGACTTTTAGGAATGGACCAGATTACACCAAACAACAGGTAAGTACAGAATATTTCCTGGGGGAAGAAGAACCCCAAGACACCCAGATAAGGTCTCTCCCCTGTCAAATTGCGAAAGCCGAACATTGCCATATATTGTCATCATACTCAGGATAATTTTCAGGAATAGTCATTTCCATGGAAGTGTAGCATAATTAACCTTTGTTTTCCCAGTGCCGCTGCCTCCTTCCTGGTTATTGTTTTAGTTGGCTTGTGGGCGGGGGGGTGCTCTCTAGGGTTACCAACTTTCTACTGAAACTGAACACCCTTGCCTCACCCCTGCCTCGCCCCTTCTCCGAGGCCCCGCCCCTGCTCACTCCATCCCCCCTCCCTCTGTCGCTCACTCTCCTCACCCTCACTCACTTGCTCATTTTCACCAGGCTGCCTCTGGGGGATGGGATGCAGGAGGGTTCTGGCTGGGGGTGCAGACTCTGGAGTGGGGCTGGGGATGAGGGAGTTGGGGTGTAGGAGGGTGCTCCGGGCTGAGACCAAGGGGTTCGGAGCACGGGAGGGGGATCAGGGCTGGGACAGGAGGGTTGGGGGAGGGAGAGGGGGAGGGCTCTGGTTGGGGGTGCGGGCTCTGGGGGGGGGCTGGGGATGAGGGG